GGATGGGATGGGTTACGGGATATGCCAATCAGTTAACAGGAATTCTCTTCATACCCAACATTAGAGGGAGGGCAATTGGAGGGTAAGAGGGCCATGGGTAACTGCAGAGCAACTTCTAATGGCCCGGGTAATAAGCCAGGAAAACACAGTATGATGTCAGGCTCTGATTTCATCTCCAAGCTGATGATGCACTGATAGTGAACTTCTAATCACTTCAGTGACAAACAAACGGCGATAGTGTCCAGCTGTGGAGTGCAGCATGTTTTGTGACTGATAAATAATGATATTTAATATGCGGGAGTCACAATACCCAGACAAGACGCAGCTGTTAGCGTCTGAAGTTGCAGAGAATGATTTTTCAGTAGGTCCCGTTACCAAGGAAAAGACAAAATACACAGATTTTCACCATGAGTCACTTTTTCGGAGGGTGGTGTCCATACAGAGCTTCCCTGAATAGCCCCCTCCGAGGCCGTCCTCGGGATGGCGCTTGTGGGCTCAGGGGCACCGGCGCCTCTCCGCGTGCTGGGCAGGGCGACAAGGCACAGGCTGTGCACAGCTTCTCAGCGAGGACACAGCTGACGCAGGCGTTTGGCATGCAGTGAGTCATACATGCTGTGGAAATGCAGTACTGATTAAAAATGAAATTCCTGTTGATTTCCAGCAGGAGCTTAATCACCATCCCAAATGAGGAGCGAGACGCTCACATATTCACGGCTTCATGACTGCTTGTTGTTTTCCCCCCGTTTCTGCCCCCTCCACCGCAAGGCTCTATCTTGGGGAGGGAGCCCCACTTACACATCTGCTGACCCCCATGACGACTGCTTACTGACACAGCTTTCAAAATATGTCTTTGGACAATCAATATTCCCTCATCCCTATAACCCTGTGGGATGGAAAAATGTATGTATTCAGTACTGGTCAAAAATTTGGACACACAAAGCAGCAGAGGGGAGTGATAGGGTGTCGTGTCACATGACCAGGCCACCTGGCCTAAACACAGTAGAAATGGTTTTGGAGGCGATTAACCAGAGAGTGAAGCAAAAGCAGCCATTGAGTGTTCAGCATGTATGTGTGACCTCCTTCAGGACAGCTGGAAAAGCATCCCAGGAGGCTGGCATAGGGGAGACAGTAGGGTCAGCCAGTCCCTGGAGCAGTTGGGGTTAAGGGCCTCGCTCAAAGGCCCAATGGTGGGATCACCAGCGGTTCAGGGATCTGAACCAGCAACATTCTGAGTCCCAACACACAGAGCTGCCCCTCCCCCAAAAATTAATTTTTTTGTTTAATACATTTTTCATTAATGCATAATTCCATATACCTTATTTTATAGTTTTGATGTATTTACAATTAAAATTACAGTCATTGTAAAATATAGGAAAAATAAACCTTTATATATGTGTGTCCAAACTTTTGACTGGTTCTATTATATATGGAGGTATGAAACTGGGTAAAATTCTGCCCATTCTGCTCCTCTCCTTACTCCAGTCCAGAATCCATGGTATTCCCCAAGGCCACACCCACCTACAGACAGTGCTAATGCATCACACACCTGGTCTGAAGCAAATTTAAGCTCGTCCTGATCTTGATGTTTAGTTTTTCCCATTTGGTTTTAGTAGCTGGTTCACTTGATCTGGGTTTTGGGATCTTGGTTCTCGGGTGTCATTTGGTTCTGTTTGATTTATTCTGTTCTTGGGTTCTGGTTTCTGGCTCCCGTTGGTTGGCTTACAGACCTCACTGGCTCAGTACCATGGCCTCATCGTTAGCCTGACCCGTTTCTGCTCGGCGCTTGAGCGTTGCTCAGCCACGTACCTCATGCGTCCTCTCAGCACTGAGTACTCAGAGTCTCCTCTCAGAGAGAACTGAGGCAGAAACACAGCCATGCAGGTGTGGGCATTGTGGAGCTGACCTTTGACCTCAGACCATGTACTCAGAACCTTATTACTTTTACAAGTCTGCCCTGTTCTTGTGACAACTTGCACATGACATTTGAAAGTGTCTCTGGATGGAACCTTCGAACGTCTCAGCAAACAGGGAGGAGTACCCCATGTCTTAGACCTATGCTGAAATGGGAGGGGCTCCCTAGTAAATATTGCATATATTGACATATTGATGGTAAATCACAGGCGTTTCCCACCAGCCATACCTGACTGCAGGTGTAACACACTGAGACCTCGTCTAAAGAACCTTCCAGGAAATGCACTCTCTGCACTCAACAGGGGTGACGAAGGTGAGATGATGTGTTGCTATTACATCCTAGATTGTTTTCTGGAAATATTATTTATGTGTCTGAAACTATCGGGGGAGATGGCCAATTTTCTCTTCATCCGAATATGCTTTGTCACCGTGGAGGAATATCCATCTATCTTCCAACCACTAATACAGTTATGGGATAAAAAACATAAACAAAGACCAGGGAAAATGCTGTCTTCTATTCTTAGCCGGGTCAATACGGGGCCCAATTTGGTGCGATTCTTCCTCTGACAGTTTTAGGCTGCGGTTTAGAATAACAAACAGGTTCACT